GGAAAAAATAACAACATTGAAAACTTTAACGAACAAGCCATGCTGACAAAACTAGTTCCTTCAACTTTACATGGCACCGAAAGTGCATTAACTGGGTTTAGATGACACAGTATAGATCAGAATGTGTTATTTAACCCTTAACAAGCCACAGTTCCCCTGAGCACCAAGCAGTAGGATATGTTGTGTCATGTGAACCTCAGCCCTCACATAACACTAAAGCAGAGCATTGTTTAACCCTTGCATAATTAATGGGGGTTGCATTTTCAAAAAGGTGGCTGTACACTTCTCACTGTGGGTAAATATCAGCGGTTGTCTTGTCATGCAAGTACCCCATTGCTTGTTAAATACGATGCTGATGTTTCATAAGAAGGATATAAGGTTGAATAACAGTTGCTAAACATAAACTGTGCTGTCAATATATAATTTTATTATTTGATATTCTGTACAGCAGTTTCATATGTGCATGCTTATTTCTCAGTATGGGAGTGGGGGTTAGAATTGGTAATAATCCTCCATAAACCGAGCCTGCCAGTTCAAAGTAGAAAGGAAGCTCTATCTTCTGTATGAGCTAATTGCTGGTCAGGGCCTCACTCTGCTGGACTTCAAATGTTTTATGACTATTTTATTCCATGCTTAATGTTTTGTTTAATGATTCTTATAGGTTGTAGGGGCAAAGGTAAATTGCTTCTGAGTTCAGTTAATGAAAACAATATAAAGCCAAACATTCTTCCTTGTTTTCAGTGATTAAAATTAACTTTAACTGCCTGATGTCTGGGATACCTGGTCAAATTTAAACAAGCTTAGAATTAATGAAAAAGAAAAAACTCAGATAGTGCTTCTTCACTTAAAAAAGGAAAGTTATAATATTTTAAGCTCAACATAGAGAAGAAAAAAATCGTATCTTACGGGATATCAAATGTCACAGGAGTCACCATTCTACTAGCTCAGAATTTTGATACACAAGTTCAGGATACCCTTAAAGACTCTACTGGGCATCATATATTCACACAAGGAAAAGGTGGAAAATGTGCTTTAATGTAGGATTGGTATATGCTCCAAAATCAAATCAAACTTTACAACAGGTCACATATGATTTGGGGGTTATTCCCCCCTTAAACAATCCATACCACTCAGGTTCAGAGTAATTAGAAATGGTGCCCAGGACATGTTGGAGATTAAATCAAGGTCCCAGGGTATCTAAATTGCCCCTGATGTCTGTTAGTTTATTTATTGTGCATGTATTATTGTTAAAACTTAATAAAATACATTTCAAAAAACCTTCAGAACATTGTTATATTCACTATTGGTACTGTATCCCATAGAAGCTTATTTTTATTAATAGCCCGATTGATTTGCCATATTCAGTATCTGCTTGCTGTCTTCATTATGGACTCACTCACATGAAAATCTAACCATGTATGTGTCTGTCTGTAAAGCTGAGTGATAAACAGTTACATACACATACATACATACATACATACATGTTGCTTTTGGACCTCTGGTTGCTTTTTAGTTTCTTTTTAAAAATATTACCACCAATGTAAATTAAAAATCATATAACTGTTCGTTCTTCTTTTCAAGTTCCAAAGGGACTAACACAGAAGTACCTCCTATATTGAAACAGAATAATTACAAGATCTTGGCTAGATAACTTAGCAGCCTGGAAGTTACTGCATGTATTCTCAATGTTGTAAGCATGTTCTATAGGAATGAAGAAGGCAGAATTATGGGAAATACTATGTAGCTTCTGAGGACATTGGGTTGCTTCCATATTCAAGTGCAAGCAAAATAGGGAAGTTGGCTTCCTTGCTTCTTCTTTTCTCCATGATTGCCTCTTCATCTTCCTGAAAAGATGAAAAACAATGGAAAGGCTCATAATAGCGAAAGATCTAGTGATGCTAGATAGGGAAGGGAGGCTGACAGCCACACAACATGGCTTCCACAAAAACAGGTCCTGCCAAACAAACCTTGTGGAATTCTATGACAAGGTTTCGAGATGGCTAGATGGAGGGGATGGAGTGGATGTGGTATACCTGGATTTCAGCAAGGCCTTTGACAAAGTGCCCCATGATATCCTGGTGGAGAAACTGAGGAGTTTTGGGACATACCAAAGCACTGTCCAGTGGATTAGGGCATGGTTGACTGACCGAAAGCAGAAGGTAACCATTAGCGGGGAATCATCGGGATGGTGGCCTGTGACAAGCGGGGTCCCCCAGGGCTCTGTCCTGGGGCCGATCCTGTTTAATCTTTTCATTAACGACATGGAAGAAGGGGTGAACAGTCTGCTGATCAAATTCGCAGAGGACACTAAAACTGGAGCAGTGGCCACAACTGAGGAGCAGGTACTCCAGATCCTTTTGGATCTGGAG